GCAGAGTCAGGATTTGACTCCAGGCAGTCTCATGCTCTTAAAGTAGGTTGAAGCCTGTCTGTAAAGGGCTAGGAACTTTGGAATGTTTCTTATGCTCTAGGGAAAAGTTTGAGCAAGACTTTGGAGCAAGAGGGAGTTTGAGCAAGAGAGGACATCATGGAGTAAGAATGTCTTATTTTGCAGGTGGCAGAGGTCCTTCGAACATCTCTTGAGCACCTTCTGTGTGCTGGGCACTGGGGATACAAAGAGCAAGACGGAGCCCCTGCCCTCCCAAGCACGTGGTTCTTATGCTGCAGCAGGCTCCCTCTGGCTCTCCATCTCCAAAAGATGTGTCATCTTTTTCCTGATGATTAGTGACATCACTTTGGTAACTTGAAATCAACTGCAGTGAGAGTATTTGCACCACGGGAATTGGCCAATGCTACAAATCGGGGCTTTTCTGTGGGGGCTGGTTGATACACACTGAGCAGCACAATGCTGACTGTGAACAGCTGCAGTGTGATGGTAAAAGTCCTCACCCAGTATAGGGTGGTACAAAGCAAATTGGGACTAACTCTGTGCCGTGAGCCAAGGAGGCAAGCCTTCTGCAGAATGCCGAGGGATGAGCAGATATGGGCTACGAAGACAGGGCAGGAAAGGGCAGCTCAGGCCGAGATGTGCCATGGCACGGCACATTCTTCCTAGAGTTGAAAGGACACTCTGGATGTGAAGGAGCCTGGGAACCTCTGAGGTACCAAACAAAAGGGTGACTGTTAAGCAAACCCAATATCGGATTTATAAAGTGAACTAATTGGGGCTGGGGAGGGAGTACCCATGTCACAACACATTAACCTTTGTCTTTAGCTGGCAGGATCTTAGAGGATTTCCAATGTGACTCAACTGGGCCTTTACCCAAAACCTCAGTAAAAGGGAACCTAGGTTTTGGGGAGGGACCTGGCATGAGAATGGACTAGAACACTCTAGGGCTGCCAGCTAACTGGGAAATGTTGACAAAAGCTTTGAAATGCCTTGTATATTGGGGTGGAGGGCCAGGGAAGTTGGCGGGAAATGGGACCAGTCTAAGTGAGGGTCAGACACATCTGGCTGGGCATGCACTTCCTGCCCAGAAATCAGAGCCAGAAAGTGGCACCACAAGGCTTGTTTTGTTGTCTTTTGTGTCGGCTGGGGTTCTGGGTGCTATGGGTTGCTCAGTGAACCTCTGGCTTCCAGAGGCTGACTTTTCTCCTCAGGGCCCCCTTAGTTCCTGTGCCCCAGACAGGGGTGAACATGGCATCAGGTTGTCTGCTTGGTGCCACACTGTCCTGAAGGTTCTGAAGGAGACTGAGGTCACTGGGCTATCTAGGCAGATGAAGCGGCCAGAGCCAGGACCCCACAGGACCTGGAAAAAAGCCCAGCCCCTCCCTTTGATGGGCTGGTTATCGAGGTTGTTTTGCTCTGCAAGATGATCACAGGGCCTCATTTCTCTGCCAACCACCCCCATCAGCCCTGCGCTGCCCCACCAATCCTACTGCCCCCCGCCCCCCCGGCCCAGGCAGACTCAGGCAGTCAGTGCAGAGACCACAGGAAAGGGATGGGCTGGTTATTGAGATACGTGAGCTGAGAAACTGGTCTCAGGCTGACCTTGGCCCAGCCCCTAATCACAGTAGCCAGTTTTTAGGAGTACTTTGTAAAAGAAAGCTGGATGTTTGGAGTGAACCAAGGGCAGTTACAAAAGTGCTAGGTTTACAAAGCAGAGTGACTGCATCCTGGCCTGTGAGGTGTGTTGGGCACTGGGGTGTATGTGTGGGGGAAAGGGAGCACCATGGCCACCTCTGCACAGGGAGCTCTGGTCTGAAGACAGAACAGAAAGGCACAAGGCTTGCCCTTCATAAAAGGGGAAAGGGCTTTAGGTGGCTCTGAGGATGTGAAGTCATAGGAAGGTCAGAGGAAGCAGTGTTCGAGGTGGCCTTCAAGCATTCAGGGGCCCTCTGTAGTGGCTGGCCTCAAGAAGTGGTAACACCAAGGGGCCTTACGGTTCCCTCCAGCCCCCTTTCTGACTGTCCCTCTGCATGCTTGGCACCACGCCTGGGGCAGGAACAGAGAGCTGACAAGCTCCCATGTGCCTGGAATTGCCCTTCAGTTGGGGCACAGCCCTTGGCTGTGCACAAGGCTAAACTGAGTCTACTTGAGATGGTTGATCACCGCGAGGTCTTGTTCGGGGCAGGGAAGGGCTCACAAGATGCACATCCATGCCTCCCAGGGCACGCTCACCCCAGCTCCCTGATCCTCTGGGATGGTCCACCTGTACCACTCTGTGTTCTGTCTCTGGTTTGCCAGGCAGATGGCTGCACTCGCCGGAGAGGCGTGCACGGGGTGCTGAATGTACCATCTGTCACTCCCCCAGTGCTGGGAGCTCAGTGTGAGGGCTCCCCCTTCCTGCCTGCCTCCCAGGTCTCTGCTCGTGCTGTTTCCGGTGCTCATGGTACCCTACTTAGCTCTGTCACAACCCAACCTACGCTTAAAGGCCCAACTTGGCTGTCCATCAAGCCCTTTGTGAAAATTGAGCTTGCTTTCCCCAAGTTCCCACAGCGCATTTTGTGATCCTCCAAGCCTTTTCCAGATTGAACTTATTTGTGGCTGTTTGCATCCTCAGGGCTCACATACCAAGTGCTCCGGACAGGCCTGCTGAGTTGTACTCTTGAGATGCTCCCTGCATGGCAGTGCATCACGATTACTTCCTGAAGGAGCAAGCCTTTACGGAGTTCCTAGGTGCCGGGCCTAGCTAGGAATTTTCACGGCCACCAGCTCATATAAGTCTCATAACACTGGGAGGTGGGGTTGTTACCCCAGGAGGAAACAAATCAGAGTGGCTTGGTGACTGGTCCCAGGTCACACAACAAGCAATGGAGCCAGAATTCAGATTCAGGTCAGCTTGTTTCCAAGGCCAGGGTTTTCTTTCCCGTTATAAGCAGACACAAAAGAGCAACACCATTTATCATGTAGAATGTATTCTCACATACATTATTTCGTTTGATCCTCACAACAGCCCTGTGAGGTAGGTAGGGTAACGTATTACTGTTATGCCCATTTCACAGACGAAGAAATGGAAGTGGCTCAGTGAGGTGAGTGACTTGCACAAAGTCACACAGCACATTAGTGGCTTCACAGATCCTTTACTTTCTATAATGTCAAGCTGCGTGAATTAAGAAGCACCGAAAAGATGGAGAGAGGGACTTTTTATGGAGGAAGAAAGGGCAGGCGGTGATTTACAAGATTTCTTCCTTAAACTGTTTTGTTGTGGTCACAGCTCCTGCTGTCTGTTCTGACCCAGGTTCTCCTGAGTGACCTTCTTGAGTACCATTGGCCTGGTGGCCTGGGACAGCTGTCAGAGGCTCCTGGGTCCCACTGTAGGGGGAAAAGACCTTTATTCCCTAACAGAGATGGCCTTGCCCATGGCCCACCATACCGGCTCCCTACTCCCAGGGTGTAACTACGGGAAGCCACTTCCTCAGCCCATCTCTTGTGGGGGACTGTGTCACTAGGCTTCCCTGGTTTTGTCTGAGGCCCCCTGCCCAATGGGGAAGATTGTGGGACTTCTAAGGCCACACTCCAGGGATGAATCATAATGGGCAGTTTTGAGGCCTGCACTGTTCATCACCTCCTGGGGAGTGGTGGCTTGGTGTGTCTTGCCCTAGACCTTCCCCCAGCAAGGTCCACGGGCTGGTTATGACCAGAAACAGTACCACAGGGGAAGGCTACTTCTTACAGAGCAGTGTTGTAGGGGCTGGACACTTTCTCCTAGAGCAGGGCTATGGTTCAGCCCACTCCTGAGCTCCTTGCTACACAGTGCCCTGTGAGCCCCTGGTCTCCTTCCTCTGGCAACACTTTTTTGGGGTGGTAAATCTTCATCCTCCAACAGGAGGTGGTCAAAAGTTATGCAGAGCCACGGCTGGTGAGAAGGTGGGTGGAATGGGGGTGACAAACAAAACTATCACAAAATGGGGCTGACTTACAAGGGATGGCCAGGGGCTGACCTTGGTTCTGAAGACAAGTCCCAGGGGGAACCCTGATGCCAAGTAATAATATTGTTAAGATAAGTGTCTGGCTTCTTAATAAGGGTGACTATTTTGAAAGAGAAAATACACATTTGGGTGAGAAGGAGGGTCTAGAACCAAGACTAGAAAATGGGAGTCAAAGGATAGATTTTGGTTCGATGTAAGGAAGGGCTTTTTAACAGCCAGCACTGGCCAACCATGGCAGAGACTGCCCCGGGCATGACGAACTTCCCGTTGCTGCAAGTATGCAAGCAGGGATATGTGATCACTGGAAGGTGCTGGGGAGAGTCACTCAGCCCCAAATGGGCTGGGGTGTGCTGCGGGCCGGGGCGGACGATGCGACCATTGGATTATTTTCCAACCCTGAGAGTCCACAATATTATTTAAAATGACCTGTTTCGATGATACTTCAAATTCTTGTGGGAAAGGAATACAAAAGTCACATAGCAGTCCACATTATGAAATGCCTTTCATTGCACTGGCTCCAGATACTTCAAAATCTTCTCAGGGACAGCGGCTCATTTCTGAAGTGAGAAATCCCCAAATGTCTACATTTGGCCCAGTCAAGAGGGATATCGCCATCTTCTGAACCCTGCCTGGACACTCACCCCTCTAGGCCGTGCCACAGCTCAAATCTCTCCCCGCCACAGCAGGGGCCAAAAACGCAGCTCTGAAATCCTACTGCGCTTCCAAGCCGGCCAAACATGGCTGCCCCTGGGCGAACAAGTCCAAGGTTCCGGACGCATCCTCAGGACACAGGAGCAGGTGAGGTGGGACTCTCTGGTGACTTTACGTCCTGGGGAACTGAAGGGGGCCTCCTTTCCCAGAAGGCTCAGGGAGGCACTGCCTAGTGGTAAAGAGAAGGCTGGTGCCTGTGAAGAACCCGCCATTCCTCTGTAGCCAGCAAGCCCTCCTGTGGCCTTTCAGACACACCGGCAGACACTTTGCTTGTCATGACAAACAGCGACAAACAGCCCATCTCTAGCTCAAAGTGGCAAGGAAAAAGGTGGCTCCGCTGAGAGGACACATGGATTCCTATTGGGAGACTGCATTGTGGGGGGAATCAAGTCCTGCTACCCGATTAATACAGATTAGTGTAGCGCCCTGCCTCCCACCACTGGTGAGGCACTCTCCAAGATCTTGGCTGACGTGGAGCTTCTTGGGAGCACCCCCCTCCAGTGCTGCTGGGGTCCTTTTACCTGTACCGTATTAATCGAATAATCTTATTGTTCATAAAATCCACAGCATGTGGGTGAGAAGAATCAATGCAGAAGCCGTCACTCAGAGCAATTTTCAGCACCTCTTCCACAAAGACCTGGAAGCTGTTGATCTGCTTGTTGGCTGGCACCACCCAGAGCCTCTTGAGGTTCTGCTTGGTGTACTCCTCCTCTGGCAGGCCCTCCACATTGGCCACCCAGTCCAGAGTCAGGTGGTTGGGGTCCTGCAGGTGGCTGGTGATGGAGGAGAGATTGCCATTGGAGCAGTAGAAGAGCTTGGAGCCCAGGAGCTTGAGGAAGAGGCAAGAGGTACTGAAGATGTTGGCGTTGAAGACCTCCATGCTGGAGGAGGAGAGGCTGTAGATCTGAGGTGCCTCCCGCACGGTGAAGTGGACTGTCTGCACACGCTGGTTCAGCGTAATGTTGAGCATGGCATTCTTCTCGGCCTTGGAGAGCTCCACCTCCTTCTCCTGCAGTGCCTCAATCAGGGGCTGCACCTGGTAGAAGTCAGCCTCCCTTCGGAGCAGGCCCATCTCCTGGAAGTCCTCCGGCAAGTCCAAGTGGGAGGTCCGCAGGAAGTTGAGGATGTAGCGGAACACTTTACCATCACGGTCGATGAAGCAGTTACCCTGGCTGTCCTTCTTGGTGGGCATCTTCCCACTGAACATGGCGCCCAGCATGGAGTCAGGGAAGCTGGTCAAGGTTGCCAGTGAGGTCGTGTAGAGCTTCCCCCCGACGTTCAGTGTGATGGGGTCTGACATGGCAGGAGGCTAGGGTGCTGGAAAGTAGTCCTGGGCAGGGAGAAAAGTGAGAAATTACCCAACCCTATCTGGGCTCTTAGTCTGTTGGGGCTGGTATAAAAGAATACCGTAGACCAGTTGGCTTAAGCATTTATATCTCACGGTTCTGGAGGCTGGAAAGCCCAAGATTAAGGTGTAGGCAGATTTGGTGTCTGGGAAGGACCATCTTATTGCCGTGTCCTCATGTAAGAGAAGGGGCAAGAGAGCTCTCTGGAGTCTCTTTTATAAAGGCACTAATCCTGTTCATGAGGGCTTAACCCTCATAGCCTAATCACCTCCCAAAGGTCCTACCTCCTCATACCATCACACTGGAGATGAGGATTTCAACATAGGAGCTTGGGGGGATGCAAGCATTCAGTCCCTAACTTCCATGTATGCATAGTTCTCAACTCCTTATTGTAGATCAAGCCTGCAGTCCTAGAGGTTGGAATGAATTAATACTTGATGAACAAATGGATGGTTGATAATTACCACACTATCTAAAGCATATTAGGTTCACTAAAAAAGAAAAAAGAAAAAGAAAAAACAAAGCATGGGTCCTACCCTCCAGAGATTGTTGTAATTGGTCTTTAATATCCCAGCATTGGTATTTGTCTAAAAGCACCCTTGGTGATTCTAAATGTTCAGTTAAGACCAGAGAACCACTGTTCTAAGGAATGAAAGAAAATGTGCTTGGACTGGATGCTCTGTTACCTGCTTGTACACACATTTGTTTACATAATGGTCATACATCTTTTGACACAGATAATACCACCATCCATCCCTATTGTGCAGATGAGGAACACTGCCAGGATTCACTCCCCACACTGAGAGACGTGAAGGGCCATGCCAGGACTCAAACCCAGGTCCCTTTATATGTGAGAGAAAAATATGTAAATGCTTACTAGCCAAACACTGGTACATTCTAAGTACCTAGCAAATGCTCTGAGATTTACGTCTTTAAGCCCAGCACTCCTACTGCTGTACCAATGAGGCCTTCTTATTATTTTTCTATCCCAATGCATTTATAATGACTAGCCATGATTAGTGCCATTTCCTTCTATCTCCCAGGCTTACAATAGGCCACTCAGCTCTCTGGACTCTGACACCCTTTCTTGGACTCTCATCCTCCTGTAACCTTGCTATGACGATGCTCTTGGCTCCTGGTGGCCTGCCCTTTCCCATCACGATGACACCTTAGTCTCCTCTGAAACCTCTATGTTTCAGTGCAAATATGGGGCTCTGCACTGAGCACCCTTTACCAGATCTTTAACAAAGCTTCCAGCATCTAAGGTTGGTGAGTCTCCTTCAACCTGAAGTCTTGGAGTCTAAGTTTTCTTTAAGGTTCTAGAAAGCAGGGGATGTCCCCTCTCAGCTTCCCACATGATCCCACCTGTGGAACAGATTAAGCAATCCTTCCCTGATGCTGGGCCCGAGGGGCACAGAGAAGAAATGGCCCCTGGCTGCCCTCGAGAAGAGCCCAGCTGGCAAGGACATCCAGACAAGAGGTAGTGAGGGTGCAGTGACAAAGGGGATGGAATGGGAGTAGGTCAGGAATGAATCCTGGCATGCTTACTGTCCAGATGGGAAAACAGGGGTCTGAGGCAGGACTTCCCCCAAAGTGAGCAGGGCAGAGCACTTCTCACCCTCACCATGCCTGCCTTCTGAGGCTGGCTGCACCAAGACCCCTTTACTCCAGAGGATGGAGATTCTTGCCAGAAGATGGAGGCCATGCTGGTGGATAGAGCTGCCCCACCCAACCGTCTGGGGGGGGTCGCTTCATGATTCTGTCCCCATCTCGTGGGGAACCTTGATATTGCAGAAAGGCATTAACCATTTGGAGTGTCTGAAGAGAAACAAGCCATGAAGCTGCAAAATCGGCAGCAGGAGCCTGGAGCAGATGGGCTGCGAGACAGTGGGGAAGTCCAACAGAAGGAGTGGGGCGAGGGGCTGAGGGAGGGGTGCCTGCTGTGTGGAGACCTGCAGCTGGGGGGAGGTGCTTTGGCTTGGAGCCGAGTCTTGTCAGTTCTCTCTCCAGAGGGCCCAGGTAGGGGATGGACCCAGGAGCCAGGGCCACCCCCTTCCTCAGTCCAGAATCTCCCTTTCTTTCTAGAAGGTAATTTGCATATTTTAATTTTCAGTCTCTCTTTCTCCTTGATTTAAGGCCCAGGCTCTGTGAAGTGGCTCAGTTCCACGGAAAGAGCAGACTCAGGCATCAGAGAGGCTGGGCTGTCTTTCCTGATGGTTCTGTGGGCCACAGACCCCGTATCTCCTCTGTACATTAGTGCTGAAGCGCGCAGAGCACTGGGGGTAGGGAGGCAGGAGCCACAGGGCGTATCTGGGGGCTCTTGGGTGGGTACCCAAACTCCTCTTTCTCTGCTTGCAAAAGCAGCAGAGCGCCTGCCGTCCTGCCTCTGCCCCCCAGCCGTGCGGTTTCCTGTCGTCATCGGGGGAGAGGGCTGCGCCAGCTGATGCTTAGATGCTAGGTTTCCTGACCACCCCTGCCCCCAGTCTAGGGTGCTCTCTGTGGTATTCTCCCCATGCCCACAAGTCACAGAGCTCCTTCAAGAGCCTATTTTCTAGGGGCAGCGCCACTGCGTCCACCATCACACATCCACAGGCCCCAGGGTAGAAGGCACAATTACACGTGAAGAGGGTAAGTGGCCACCTCCGGGGTGCTGAGAAGCTTCGTGAGTCGGCTTCGTGGTCAGGTGGGGATGAACCATCCTCACTGAGCTACAGCCCCGTGGGTGCCCTCAGCGGTCTCCTGGACATCTCCACCTGGATGTCCCATGGGTACCAGAAGGCCTAACAAAGAATTCCTCTTCCCCAGACCCGCAGTAAACTCTTCCCGGCCACCCAACTGCCTGAGCCCAAGACCTGGGAGGCAGCTCTGACTCCTCATCCCTAAAAATTTTCTCACTCTGTTTCCTCAAACCCATCCCTAAAGCTACTCCCAGAGCTCTGACCACACCGCCACTTTCCTTCCATCCTCATTTGGCGCCCTGCCTTCTTTCTGTCCACCTTCCATTTTGGTCTTCGTGAAGCACTACTGACTGCCCACACCACCTTCCCTTTCCAAGCTCACCTCCAGCCCCTCCCCCACTCTTGCTCAGGCACTCCAGACACCCCTGCGCACATCCTCACACTGTCACCTGCCCCGCCTTTGCTCTCCCTACACCACCTTCTCTGCTGTCAACCTTTAAGGCTCCACCTATGAGTCACTGCCTCTGTAAGGCTGTCCCCAGATCTCAACTAGTTTAATAGCTCTCCTCTTGGGGCTTGCTGGCCCTTTGCACAGTCTCCCGGCAGTGCCCACCAATCCATCATGTTATGATCATGGCCCTCCTCCCTGGCTTTATCAAGATGCAGATCACTGGACATCCACATGCAAAAAAAGAACCTCAACCTGTATCTTGGACCATGTAGGAAAAATTAACTCCAAACAGATCATAGGCCTAAATGTAAAATCTTTAGAAAACTTTAAAACTTCCAGGAGAAAACCTTTGTGACCTTGGGCTAGGCAAAGATTTCTTGGCTGGGACCCAAAAGGCACAAACCATTAAAAAAAAAAAATGACAAACGAGACTTCATCCAAAGGAAAAATTTCATTTCAAAAGACACTGTTAAGAAAATGAAAATAAGACAAACTGGGAGAAAATATTTGCAGAACACAGATCTAATAAAGGACTGTTAACCAGAATATATAAAGAACTCTCAAAACTCAGAAGAAAACACACAACCCAATGAAAAAAACGGGCAGACGATCTGAATACTTCACCAAAGAAGACATATAGACAAATAATCACATGAAAAATGCTCAAAAGCAATAGTCATGAGGGACACGAAAATTAAAACCACCATTATATACCTATTAAAATGGCTACAGTAAAAAACCTGACAACACCAAATGCTGCTGACTTCACAGAGCAATGGACACGCACACGTTGCTGGTGAAAAGGCGACGTGGTACAACCACTGTGGAAGCCAGTTTGGCATTCGGTTTCCACATGACCCAGCAATCCCACTCCTAGTTATGTGCCCAGAGAAATGAAGACGTACATCCATGCAAAACCTGTCCCTGGGTATTTCTAGCAGCTTTATTCATAATTGCCCAAACCTGGAAATGGAAATGGTAAACCGTGGTACAACCATATGATGGAATGTCTCAGCAATACTAAGGGACTAGCTCCTGACATATACCGCAACTGAGGAGTCTCAGAAGTTTCGTGACGTAAAAGAAGCCAGCCTCAAAAGGTTACATGGTAGGTGATCCTATTTACATAACATTCTGAAAAAGGCAAGACTGTAGAGACAGAAATCAGAGCTGTGATTGCTCGGGCCTGGATTGGGGAAGAAACTGACTACAAAGAGGCAAGAGGGAATATTTTGGAGTGATGGAAACAGTCTAGGTCTTGATGTGGGCATAGTCAAGTGACTGTTAAAGGTTCTAAAAATTCATGTCACTGTAGACCTCAAAAGGGTGAATTTTACTATATGTAAATGAATTCATAAACTGGAAAAAGAATCAACAGCATATTTATGTCATGAAATCAATACAGTGGGTTGTGACCAGCTACATATATTGTTGGGAAACTTTTGTTTCAGTTTGTTGGTGTATGAACTGGATCGTGATATAAAGTCAAGTATATCTTCATACTGGGGGTTGTGATAAAAAATATTTTTGAAAACCACTGCCTAGGTTGTGATCTCCTTGAGAGCAATGACACATCTCATGTCCCTGCAGGGGCTGCCTAGCACACAGTGGGTGCTGGTGATATGGGGATGGGGGGGCGGGCAGCAGGGAGGGGCTGAGACAGGGAAGGAATGAACATTTACCGAGTGTTTTACTACATCCAAGGGCTTTACACTCACCAGCTTTAAAAAATTCTTATAGCAGCCCTAAAAGTAAGCATCATTTTCCATTTGGCAAGTAGGAAAGTGGGACTCAGAGAGACTGGTGACTTGCTCAGGACACACAGCCAGCTAGCGGAGAGCCCATCCTCGGCCCA